CAGTCTCTCCTGCCCGGGCTGGCTTTGAACCGCGATCCTCAGATCTCAGCCTCCTGAGTAGCTAGGATTACAGGCGTGAGCCACCAGCGCCCGGCTCTAAAAAAAAAAAGTTTATGGAAGTTTAGCCTAGTTTTCTTAGTAGATTTTGTGAATCACACGGAGGATACTGGGCTTCACTCTCAGCCTACTGAACTTGCATCTTTGGAGTTCTGTCTGAGCTCCCCAGATGTTTCTGAAGTATAGAAGTTGAGAACTGCTAGTGCAGAGTATGTAGTGGTTAAGTCCCAGCTGTGTGACTCCTCATGGTCCTCTTCCCCTCTGTTGACCATTCCTCTGTGGTGGTCGCAGTGCAACATGCTTTTTGTGTGTCATCGCCTCGCTTAACCTTCACAGTAACCCATGGGCGGTAGTGTTCCCACCTATCCTTGCAAATAACAAATAACATTTAAGTGCCTACTGTGTGCCAAATATTCTGCCAGCCACTGAGTTACCTAAATGACAGGTGGTAAAATTCTGCTCTATTCAAGCTGACCTGCTAAGAGAGAACCTCTGGCTTCCTGTTGTCCTTTGTACTTTCTGGGCATGCTCCAGCCTAGCAGCCTTTGTGCCTGATGGTCCTTCAGCCTGAGTAGCTTTCCTTAGCCACACAGCTTACTCCTCACATACTCCAGACTTTCACTGAAACAAGAATTTCTCAGTGAATCAATATCTCTCTCTCTCTCTCTCCCCCTCTCCCTCCCTCTCCCTCCCTCTCTCTCTTTTATGGTTGTGGGCCTGAACTCTGGGTCTGGGCGCTGTCCCTTAGCTCTTCAGTTCAAGGCTAGTGCTCTACCACTTGAGTCACAATGCCACGTTGGTTTTCTGGTGGTTTATTGGAGATAAGAGTCTCACGGACTTTCCTGCCTGGGCTGGCTTTGAGCTGTGATCTTCAGATCTCAGCCTTCTGAGTAGCTAGGATTACAGGCGTGAGCCACTGGTGCCTAGCTTTCAGTGAATTCTTTCTGGTGTGTTCACTGTAGCCATCCCTGTGTTGACTTCCTTTCCCACTCTGTTCTTCCCCGTCTATGGTAGAACTTCTTAGTAAGTTCCAAGAACAACTCTCAGTACTAGGTAATGGTATCACTGGCATCATTGTGCAGATGTGACAAGCCCAAGATCTGACCACACAGCTAGGGAGTAGCAGAGCCAGAACTGAGCTCAGATCCCCTGGCTCTCAGGCCTGAGCTCCTAAACCACTGCCCTTCTAGCTCCCTCATCTCCAAGCTCTTCTCTGGCCTGCTTGACACCTGCTCTTACATGTCCTTCTGAAAAATGTTCTTGAGTCCTTATGTCCTCAAGATTGCAGCTCTCAGGGCTGGGAAGGTGGCTCAGTGGTAGAGCACTTGCCTTGTATGCATGAGGCCCTGGATTCAATTCCTCAACACCACATAAGCAAAAAGAAAAAAAAGCCAGAAGTGATGTTGTGGCTTAAGTGGTAGAGCACTAGCCTTGAGCTGAAGAGCTGAGGGATAGCACCCAGGCCCAGAGTTCAGGCCCCATGACCGGAACCCCCCCCCCCCCCCAAAAAAAAAGATTGCAGCTCTCCTTAGATTGTTTCTCTTTATCTCTCACCCTCTCTGCATCCCAGGATCATGAAGATGACAGTGAAGAAGCTGGTGAGATCACCTGGGCTCCAGCTGAAGGGTCCGAGGCAGTAGAAGAGGCAGTGCCCAGTGACCGTTCGTCCTCTGCCCAGCCCCCCACACCCCCTGTGTCCAGTTGGGAGCGGGTATCGAGGCTGATGGAGGAGGACCCTGCCTTCCGCCGTGGCCGTCTTCGCTGGCTCAAGCAGGAGCAGCTGCGGCTGCAGGGACTGCAGGGCTCTGGGGGGCGGGGAGGGGGGCTGCGCAGGCCCCCAGCTCGCTTTGTGCCCCCTCATGACTGTAAGCTCCGCTTCCCCTTCAAGAGCAACCCTCAGCACCGGGAGTCTTGGCCAGGAATGGGGAGCGGAGAGGCCCCAGCTCCACCCCAGCCCCCTGAAGAGGTCACTCCCCCTCCCGCTGCCCCTGCTCGAAGGCCTCCAAGTCCCCGCAGGTCCCACCGTCCTCGCAGGAACTCCCTGGATGGAGGGGCCCGATCTCGGGGAGGGGGTTCCACACAGCCCGAGCCCCACCACTTCCAACCTAAGAAGCACAACTATTATCCCCAGCAGCCCCAACCTTACCCGGCCCAGAGGCCCCCAGGGCCCCGCTATCCTCCATACACTACTCCCCCACGGATGAGACGGCAGCGCTCAGCTCCTGATCTCAAGGAGAGTGGGACAGCTGTGTGAATCCTACATCTTGGACAGAGAGGCCCTGGTGAGGCCTTTGCTGGGAGAGGGAAAGATGCTTCCCAGAAGCCCTAGGTCAGAGAGGCCAGAGGGGAGAGAGAGAGCGAGAGAAGGTCCGAGCAGGTGATGGAAGATAGGGTGACTGAGCTGGAGGCTGAGGGAAGGAACAGGGCACGGAGTTGCCAGGAGCAAACCAAAGTGAAGGAAGAGTCATGGGAAGCTGCCTTGGGGCCCCCCTTTGCAGGGGGGGAGTCCCACAAACGCTGCTATGGGTGGGTGGGGCTAGAGGCTGCATAGCCAGTGTTTGACTTTATTTTTGAGTGGGTGCAAAGGGGAGAGAACTGAGAGGAGAGTTCTCCCCAGCCTGTCTGTCTGTCTATCTGTGGTGGGTTTCTGTTTCCAGGGAGGTGTGGTAGGATCTTAAGTCATTCCCCTCCCCTTCCAGGCCTCCTGCTGTATTTAGGGGGACCTGTGTGGTTTGGCTGGAGTCCCATAAGGATGTGGGACCCCTTAATAAAAGTTAGCAAGCAGGGTCTTGTGGCTTGTTGTTTGGTTTGGGGCTTTAATAGAGGTGCTCACCGCTTGGATAAAATGGTTCTGTTGTGTTTCCTTGAATGCAATTTCCTGTGTCTTCATTTTTTGTTTACCCAATGTCTCTGTGTCCTCATTACCACTTTCAATGTCTTGGACAAAGTAGAGAAAAATGCCAGGTGAGGTGAGGGACCAGCAGCCTATAGGTGACCCGCTGCCCTGTTGCTAACAGATAAGGAAGGCTTCGGGTTGCAAAATAGTTGTGCTTCATCAAATCCCCTGGTTTGTTGCAGCATTTACTCAGTAGACCTGTTTCCCTGGGCAGTGAATGTGTTGGTCATGCTTACTGCGTCTACCTGTTTATTTTCATTCTGGTCATGTTATCTACCCTTAGGCAGCTGCATTCAGAGTTGCAAATAGCATTTTGTTTTAACTATTTTCATGCTGGTTATAGTGATTCACACCTGAATCCAGCACTCTGGGAGACAAAGGCAGGAGGATTGTGAGGTTAAGGCCACCCTGGGTCAGACCAGAATGAAAAGACACTTGTGCCGGGTGCCGCGGTGGCTCACACCTATAATCCTAGCTACTCAGGAGGCTGAGATCTGAGGATTGTGGTTCAAAGCCAGCCCTGGCAGGAAAGTCCGTGAGACTCTTATCTCCAATAAACCACTGGAAAACTGGAAGTGGCCCTGTGGCTCAAGCGGTAGAGCGCTTGCCTTGAGCTGAAGAGCTCAGGGACAGTGCCCAGGCCCAGAGTTCAAACCCCACGACCAACAACAACAACAAAAAAAGACACTTGTTTAAAACATTACTTTAAAAATAGTTTCAAGGCACTGCCTGTTTTTCATGTTCTAGTTACGAGCAGGAAGCTGGTGGCAATGTTATAGGATGCTTTTGCAGGCTGGATTCCATCAAGCTCCCCCCTGAGTTTGCCAAGACCTGGAATTTTTGTGTTTTCATCTTGTTCTCAGGAAAACACTTTGCCTCACTCAATATTTTCGGCTGCCCCTCTGCAGCTTGCTGGGCTCACTGAGTCTAGAAATGCAAGCAACCATTCCACGGGTCCAACTGCAGGCAAATCAGGGCTGTGGGGAGGGGAGGGTTCGGCCTGTGGTTGGTTTCCAAACCCAAATGTTGGCTACCTTTATTTTGACACCTTTGACTACCAGGCCTTTGGGGACAAATTGACCACAACCCAAGATCTGGAATGTAATGGGTAGTTTGGCAGCAGTGTTTACTTGAGCAGTTTGTAATCTCATGGGTGGGGATCCGAATGTGAGGGAGAAAATGACAGAACATGAAGTCCCCGGCAGGTCAGCGCAGGCTCTGTGGTGCGGAGCTGGGAATCGGCATAGCTGCTTCAAGTACAGTTGGTTTCTTCTCCCCTAAGAACTTGGCCGAGTGTAAATAGGCATTAGATTCCCTTTTTAAAAACCCACTTCTTCAGCCTTCCACGTCAATCTTTAAGAATGTGGACAAACCTTGTTTAGATTTTATTCAGAGGAGCACCCATTAATCTCATGGGCTCCATGTGCCAGTGTTCTGTGTGTGCATTTGCTCTTTAAATAACCCTGCAAAGGAGGTCTTCTGTTTCCATTTTTTCAGATTGATTGAGATTTGGTTATGAGTTATCCAAGTGTCTAGGGTTTTTTTTTCTTTATATACACACACACACACACACACATATATATATATATATTGTAAAGATACTGTACAGAGGGGTTACAGTTACACGAACAAGATAATGAGTCCATTTCCTGTAGAGCATTGTTACACCTTCCTTTATTTTTCCCCTACTACCCCTTTCCTCCCTACCTCCCCAGCTTCTACCTCCCTGCCCCCCTCACCCCCCGCCCCCTGCAAAGTTGTAAAGTTCGTTTTCAACATACTGTCTTGTACATGCCTAGGTTTTTTTGTTTTTAATTTTTTATTGCTATTATAAAGGTGATGTGCAGAGGGTTATGGTTACGTAAGTCACGTAAAGAGTGCATTTCTTTTTGGACAGTGTCACCCCTTCCCTTGCTCTCACCCAGTTTTTCCCTTCCGTCCCCACTCACAAGTTGTATAGTTCATTTTCAGCACTGTGTCTAGAGAGTACCACTGCTGCTTTTGTTCACTCTTTGTCCCTCCACTTTGTTTTGTTTGTCTTGGCTCTATAGCCCAACTTGCAGTCATCCAACCTCATTCTCCCAAGTGCTGAGATTCTTGGTGTGCTCTACCATGCCTGACTACAAAGTACATAGTTCTTAAAGAGAAAAGTTAGAGGTTTGAACCCAAACTAACCTGACGAAAGCCCAGACCTCCCTCCAGGAGGTTAGATCACACCTTTCCTTCTAGAAACCTGTGATTGCCTTCTTCCATTAGGTCTTTTCAAGCATGTCATAGGCCTGCCTGCTAGCTTCCAGCTTCCGGTCTCTCCCGCACTGTCCTGTGAGGAAGCGAGGGCCTCTGTTTTGTGAGCCTCCTTGAATCATGAGAAGTCACCAGGACAAGCTGCCTGTTTTCTGGCTCCGTTTGGCATTTTTACAGTCTCACTCTGGTTTCCTTGGAAATCCCATTGGCTTGTCTTCATTTCTCTTTGGAGCCTTCTTTCCTTGGCTTTTTCATTTAGACTTTTTGTTCTTTTACCTGAGATTTTTGTATCTTGAAATACTTTTAAACTTTTTTAAAAAACTTTTTCTGTATAAATAGTTTCCAATTTGCTTTGGCCTGAAAAACTGTTCTTTTCCCTTTTTATTTTTATTTTTTTGGTCATGGGCTTGAACTCGACCTGGGCGCTGTCCCTGAGCTTTTTCACTCAAGGCTAGCGCTCTGCCTTTTAGCCATAGTACCATTCTGGTTTTCTGGTGGTTAATTGGAGATAAGAGTCTCATGGACTTTCCTACCCCGCTGGCTTTGAACAGCAATCTCAGATCGCAGCCTCCTGAGTAGCTAGGATTGTAAGTGTGAGCCACTGGTGCCTGGCTAAAAAGCTTGTTGAGATAGAGACTTTCAGAATAGTCCAAGCTGTCCTTAAATGTGCAGTTCTCTTGCTTTAACCTCTTGGCACATGTAACACCTCTTTTGGCCTTCCTTTTAAAGATTTAGTCACAGCTACCTGATGCCATGATTGTCATGTGACTTCAGTTGTGCCACAGGTAGGTCTTTCCCCTCAGATTCTTCCCCTCTCCCCTCCCTTTTCTCCCCTCTTCTCTACTTTTCTCCTCCCCCTCCTCTTTCCCCTCTCCCCTCTCCCCAGACTTCTTTCCCCTCCTCCCTTCTCCTTCCCCTCCTCCCTACTCTTTCCCTATCTTCTCTCTTTTCTTTTGATGCCACTACTGGGACTTGAACTCTTAGGCCTCCTGCTCCTACATAGTGTTTGTTGTTCTAAGCTGGTACTATGACACTTGATCCATACCTCTACTTCTGGCTTCTTGGGAGTTAGTTGAAGATTTAAGAATCTTGAAATTTGTCTGTGTAAGCTGGTTTTGAACTGTGATCCTCAGATCTCGGCCTCCTGAGTAGCTAGAATTACAGGCCTAAGCCACTGTCACATGGCTATGGTTAGTTATCATCCCCAGTGATCTACAGCTTCCCACAGCCACTTCTGTGAACCTTCCTCTTCCTTTTCAAATGGAGTCTTTGGAACTCTGGGTGTCACTAGGGTCTTTTTGTATGAACAAAACTGGAGTTTGTTTGGGTGCTGGTGGCTCACACCTGTAATCCTAGCTACTCAGGAGGCTGAGATCTGAGGATGACGGTTCAAAGCCAGCCCGGGCAAGGAAAGTCCGTGAGACTCTTATCTCCAATAAACCACTAGAAAACTGGACGTGGCGCTGTGGCTCAAGCAGTAGAGCACTCGCCTTGAGCTGAAGAGCTGAGGGACAGCATCCAAGCCCAGAGTTCAAGCCCCACGACTGACCAAAAAAAAAAAAAAAGTGATAGAGTACTAACCTTGAGCAAGAGAGCTCAAAGGCAGTGCTTAGGCCCTAAGTTCAAGCCCCATGACTACCACCAACAAAAAAAAATGGAATGTGTTTGAACTTAGCACCTTGTGTTTGCTGTGTAGGTGCTGTCCTACCTGAGCTATAATTCTTAGATTATTTTTCGGGGGGGGGGGTCTGGTCGTGGGGCCTGAACTGTGGGCCTGGGCGCTGTCTCTCAGCTCTTCAGCTCAAGGCTAGCACTCTACCACTTGAGCCACAGCGCCACTTCTGGCTTTTTTCTTTTTCTGCTATGTGGTGCTGAGGAATCGAACCCAGGGCCTCATGCATGCAAGGCAAGCACTCTACCACTGAGCCACCTTCCCAGCCCTTCTTAGATTATTTTCAAATAGAGTCTCACATTTTTGCTCAGGTCTGACCTTAGAGCTTGATTATTCTAACATGTTGCAGGAACTTGGGTAGTGGTGGCTCATGCCTGTAATCCTAGCTACTTTGGAGGCTGAGATCTAAGGATCCCTGCCAGGGCCAGAAAGTCCATGAGACTGTTATCTCCAATTAACCACCAAAAAGCTTGAACTCAAGGTACCCAGGCCCTATGTTCAAGCATTTTTTTCTTGATCTCCCCCTGGCAGATGAGATTACAGGCATGAGTTAGGTCCTCTTCCAGTGCCAGTAGAATGGTAGGAAACCCTGTGACAAGGCAGGATAGGTTTTATTTTGTTTGTTTTTGTTTGTCAGTTGTGGGTCTTGAACTCTAGGCCTGGGAGCTGTTCCTGAGCTCTTCAGCTCAAGGTGAAAACTCTACACTTGAGCCACAGTGCCACTTCCTTTTTTCTGTTGGTTAATTGGCCATAAGAGTGTCACAGACTTTCCTGCCCAGGCTGGCTTTGAACTGCAATCCTCAGATCTCAGCCTCCTGGGTAGCTAGGATGACAGGTATGAGCCACTGGCTTCCAGCTGGCAGGATGGTTTGGCATGTAGGCTTTCCCTGTCCCTGTGTGATGGTACTCTGTACTGCCTCTTTAACATCTCTGTTTCCCTGGCTATGGGCAGCTGGTGCTCACTCATCTTTCTGGA